ACATAGTTACAGTTATAAACAATAAATTGACAAGATGTAACAACTATGACATAAAAATAATTATTGTTAAAAATTGTAAAGACATAGTAAATATAATTATTAATCAAAACACATTGCAAAAATAATAAATAAAATAGAAACTGAAACAAGCAAAGCACACACACACACAAAAACACTTAACAAAACAAAAGAAATTACAACAAACAAAAACTTACAAAAAACAACAACATAATAAACAAAACATTTAATGAAATAAAGTAAACTAACAACAATAAATATTAACAAAAAATAGTACCAATAAAAATAATTTTTTTTACTCTTTTTTGAATTGATCTGTTTTTTTTTTATATGCCTTTTTTCATTAATTTCTTTTTTTTTTTTTTTTTTTGTTTTTGTTTTGATTTTGTAAAATGTATGAATTTAATCTTCAAGATCAATAATGGGGCACAGTGAATCAGCCTATTCACTGTATCCTAACTCACTGTGTCCCACCATAACAAATTAAGTTTAAGTCTAATTTCTTGGGGCACGAGTGTTGTTAAAAGTAAAGCTAAACTACTAAAAGGAAGCATAAATATCAATAATCCGAATTAAAAACTTCAAGTTTTAAAATTACTTCAACCATAATCTGCTTAGCAAACATAAGGAATATAAGAAAATTTACTTTAGTTAGCTAAAAACAAAAATTACAAACCGAAAACCGGTAGTTAAAAATTATATGGCAACAATTATAAACAAAGATGGCTGATATATGAGCCCATAAAATAGTTACATTATCAAGATGAACAAAATTCTATTCTTTGAGAAAATGCCTCTTACCCACTGCGCCACTCGACCCACTGTACTCCAACTTTCCCTAACTATCACTATATATGTATCACTTTATAACATTCGAGAAGTTTCATTTAACGAATGCATCAAAGTTTCATGCAACGAATCAGGCAGGAACTGACATTGCAGGGACACAAAAGATTTCTAATTTTTCAATATTGTTTTAACGAAAAAAAGTTTGTAACTAAAACTCTTTTTGATTAAATTCTAGTGAAAAATCTTATTATACATCTTGTTTGTAAAACATTTTTTATATTATTTGCAAAAAAGCATGATTTTTTCTATTTACAAAAAAAGCATTTTTTTTATTTTGGTAAAGTGCTGAGGTGTAACACTATTTTTAGTAGATGTATTTTTAGTAAATAGTGGTTTTGGTGTTGTTCTTGAGCAAATCTTTGATAGTTAGGTGACTGTACTAATCACAACTGTGTAGGTAATTAATCTATTGCATATCGGTTCAAAGATTTTATAGATAAAATTATTATAAAAAATAATACTTTATTACAAACTGTTGTATATTTTATTTCTAAATTTTTTCAATTAATAAGTTGTATACTATACGTATATAGTATGGGTCTTGTAAATACGTGCTCTTTAATTTGTCTATTTATATTTTGTTTTTCTTTTTTTCTTTCCTTTCGATTTTTCTTGTTTACTTGACTATTACTCTCAACATGAATATTGCTTTTGAAGTATTTCTTAAACTAATTGTTATTTACTTTTACATTTATATTTTTCAATAAATAATTTCTAAAGTATAAATATATTATACGGTTATCGTAAATGCGTACGATTATGACTAATAGCTCTGACTGAGCAAAGTCATAAAAAAGTTCAAAAAGAGACTAGATAAAAGTCTTAAATTCTGTTTAACCCCTTAACTGTGAGTGACGGATATATCCGTCACAGCAAGGTATGGCTTTTTTTGTGCCTAAAGCATAATAGCTAGTAAAACTTAATTTTTTTAAATTAAACCTTTTGAATTTTCGGCAAACTAAACGAAAAAAAAGTTAACGACTTGAAATAGTTCTAAACAAATATATTTTGCTTTAATAGAAAATGTAACCTTTAAATCTACGCCACACTTAAGGGGTTAAACAAAAAAGAAAAAGAAAAGAAATTTTTCAAAACACAAAAAGAAGTAGTCGTATCAAATAAAAATTTCATTTTATTTAAAGCCTAAGTTTTAATTTTTAAGAATAAAGTTTTTATAAACATTTTTTATTTAAGTTTTACTAATTACTACGCGTAGTTAAGGTCGGCGCAAAGGAAGGGCGGGGGAGGTGTGGGGTGTAACACCCCCCCCACCCCCATCAATGATTTTTAGTCGGCAAATTTGACCCTTAGTTGGCAAATTTGACCCTTTTCGACTAGTTAGTCGCCAAATGTCGACCCTTTTGATAGTCGGTAGTTTAAACAGTTAGTCGGCAAATGTCGTCATGGCAGTCGGCAAATTTACGAAAACGAGGACCTTTTTTTTTTTTTTTCATTTTTCGTCGCCAAAAGTGATAATGGCACCTCCCCTCCCCCACGTGATACCTACTCGCGCCGGCCCTGCTCGTAGTAGACGCACGTAGTAGACTCTAGGTACGTAGAGTAAAAGATAATTTTTTTTTTATTTCCATACTTTCTTTATCTGTTTGCAGAGCTGTAACCACCAGGGGGCTAGGGTGACCTTGTCCCCTCCCATAAAATATTTTAAAGTTATAATTATTAGGGAAAAATATACATGTAAAATTTTTAACGGATATATTTTCATATACGCAAAAATATGTTTCAAGACATTTGGTATTGTGGTTTATCCTCCTCCAGCTAATTGCCATATAGAGGCCACATTACCAAGGCCCGCAAAGACAAGTTCTGCTCCCCAAGGAGCGTCATAACCCGCTCTACGGTCCAAGAGTAAGGTGAGAAGGAAGAAGTAGCCGAGTTAGAAAGATAACAAAGAAAGCGGACAGAAATTGCACACGATGTGTAAACGGAATAAGCATGAATTTTCATTGCTTATGACGTAGGTTTCAAGAAATTTTTTTATCTTTCATTTCCTTTAGAATTTTATTTGTCTACCAAATCAATATAAGTGATAATGGTTTTGAATGGTGATAATGTTTTGTCGCATTATTTTAATACTGAGTTTTATTGCAAAAAATGCTCTTAACGTGCGGAACATAATGATATTCTGTAACAATCAGACTAGTACCAGCTTACGTTATTAAAAAACAATTCATTTTCACACGATCTGCAAAATAACTATTCATCAAGAACAATGAGTTTGTAACGCGTGCGAATTTTTTTTTTTTTTGTGTTGTGTTGTGTTGTAAAGTTAATATTTGAAATCCCGAAAGTCTCTAATAAAATAAAAGCTAATGTTAAAGGTGGTTGCTTTTTAACTAATCGTGGTGTGGTTTTAGTCAAATAATTGTTATATTTATATTTTTAAAAATCCCGAAGCAGCGAAATTTAAGAACTGTTTTAGAAACGTGCTATGAAATGGAAAATCTAGCTTTGTGTCGCTGACCTTAAACTTTAAAAAAAAAGGAAAATGCCAGCTTATTTAAAAACAACTCTTAACCCACAAAAAACCTATAATTTCCATGATTCAACAAAATAACATTATCGCCAACTGTATTTTGAAGCTTTCGGTCTTATAATCAGTTTTATAAAACAGAGGTTGGATCAACCTGATCATAAGGTATATATTGATCTTCAGGAAGTTCTTCTCAAGTCAATAAAAAGGGAATTTGGGAAAACCATCTGCAATCAGTTTGTCACTTTTACTGTCAAGATATTATCCAATTTTTAGCTAAAACACAAATTGCCCTTCTACCAAGCATTGTAACATCATTAGATCACGACATCAAAAAATTCACTATTAAAGATCTCATCATGTTTTTTAAAAGTTTGGATCACTCTAAAAGAGCTTTACTTACCAAAGTTGTAAAGATTTCATGTGATGCCAGCTTTTAATGCTTATAGTGAAAGATCTTTCTTCACTTTAAAGAGTTAAAACCTACCTTAGATTGTAAACAACAGATTCCCGTCTTAACAACTTGCTAGTTCTTCATACTCGCGTGGAAAGCAGTGGACAAAATTGATTTGGTTGAGGTTGCAAATGATTTTATTAATAAATGTCAAACACGAATAAACATTTTTGTAAATTTCAGCTAGCATTTTTGTAGAGATATTACATTTTTTATTTGCTTCATAGAGTTTGATGATCATTAAATATACATTATAAATGAAAATCAAAACTTTTTGTTACCCCATCCTCCTTTATAAGAACCATAGACCCTCTTAATATCAAAATTGTGGTTATGGCTCTGGTTTGTTAAAGGAAAAGCAAAAATTTACAATTAAAATTGTTAATAAAACAATTACAGTTAAATAGTTAAGTTACGTTTTCAATGATTAGTTCATTCTATGTATTATTTCAATGACTGATTAATTCAATGTATTATAAATCTTTTTAAAGCAATTTACAAAAACAATATATTTTTCAATTCTAAACAAATTTCTGCGCTTTAGATAAACCACGTGCTTACAAAAAAATAAAAAAAATAGTAAAAAAATAAACCATCGAAAAAGAAAAAAAGTAAAAAAGAAAAAAGGTAAAAAAATTAACCATTCAAAAAGAGCTATTATCAGGGCCGCCGAGCCCTGAACTGTCTCGCTTCCTGGGACAGCAATCCTGATTGGCGCCCTTATCAAATTTTCCCTATATTATATATGAAGGACCTTTTTTTTTTTTTTTACGTACCTTCATTTTATTTGGCGTCCCTTGGATATCTGCCGCCCGGGACAAACTGTCCCAAGCGACCCCCCCCTCCTCTCGGCGGCACTGACTATTATAGATAAAAAAATATACAATTCATTTTTTAGTATAGTGAATTATGTAGCGCTTTGTAAAGTCTTGAAAAAGAGCTACTTTTGTAAAATTTGTCAAAAATAAAATAAAATGAAGTTTTTTGCGCCGATTGTTTAATAATGTCCTTAAAAGCGCTACACAATTTAAAAGCGCTACACAATTTAAAAGCTCTACACAATTTAAAAGCGCTACACAATTTAAAAGCGCTACACAATTTAAAAGTGCTACACAATTTATTATTAACGAATTATTAATTGAAAAAGTATAAAATCGGGTACAGTATTTTTAGTTAAAGGTCTATATGCAAATTATTATGATTTATCTTAAATTAACAAAAATTTAGCATAAGTATAAAATTATCATGGAAAATAAATATATATCATATATATAATTTATTGCATTAATATTTTAACCAATGTTGTTCATTTTAATGAACTTTGCACACACGAAAATATTTTCGCTTTTAAAAGTTTGTGCAATCAATTGGGTATGACTTTCTAAAGGTTTTTTGGTGTTAATATTTATTTTGTTGGTAATAATTACTGGATTATAATAACAAACCAATTGATTATTTGCTAATAATTACTGGATTATAATTACATACCAATTGATTATTTGGTAATAACTACTGGATTATAATTACATACCAATTGATTATTTGGTAATAATTACTGGATTACCATGAAAGTTTGTGTTTATTTTGTAAAAACAAAATTTGTTTTCGTATTCTTCCGAATAATGATTTAAAGATGACAATGGCGATTTTCCGTAACCACTATCATTTGAGTGAAATGTTTTTAAACTCGAGTTAATGTTTCTTTTGTTAATTTCTTCTGCTCCAGTGAGGTAATTATTTAAAGAAACGTTTATTATTTTCACCGCTGAAGTTTTTTTTGGAGGATTCCGATATTGCATGATTGCTAGTATATAATTTTGTTGGAAGCTTGCTCCTAAAATTGATGCAATTACTGACAAAATAACTATTCCAACTAATGTGCTCATTATACCAATTATTTTCCCTGCAAAGGAACTGGGCACCATATCACCATAGCCAATAGTGGTCATTGTAATAATGCTCCACCATAGAACGTTTGGAACGTCTTTAAATGTATGTTTTTGTGTTTTTTCGCCCCAAGTTTGTTCTGCAAAGTAAGCAATACTCGAAAATATAATAGCTGGAATGCACAGAATAAAAACTAAGGTAAAAAGTTGATTTAAACTTGACTGAAGCGTTTTGCCTAATATTTCCAAGTCGTAAAGTAATTTAAAAAAACGAATCACGCTTGCATATCGAAGAACATTAATTGTCATAACTGAGCTTGAAGATGGTTCTGTAATTAAAAACAAGTAAATAGGAACAACGGCAAAAATGTAAAACCAGTTCCAAACATTTTTTACGTAATGAATCTTGTTTGGGGTAAAATAAATTCTTAAAACTATTTCAAGTGTAAACCAAACTGTTAAAACAATTTCAATATTTCGCGATGTGCTAGTAACATCTATGCAATTAGGAACTAAAGTAATTTTTATTAAATTATTTAAATTAATTTTATATAAAAAAATTTGTTATATATTTAAATAAAAAATTTTGTTGTCAATTGAATAAATATCTCTTACTTGTTTTGTTAAATCTATTTATTGTCAGGCATTTGGATTTTTTCCAATCAGTTGTCATTTCACTAAAAGCCACTATTGAAATTACTATGAAACCAAGTGATATATAGGAAAAAATCTAAATTAAAAACATAAATAAATTATGGTGATTTAGTTCCCATAAAAACTTTATAAAAAAAATTTTACGGCAAAGATCTTAATAATCTTGAAAAATTCAGATTTTGCGTGGCAACATGTTTTTTTTTAACCCATTGAACTGTATTATGTCTATAATTTTTTGGTTTCTAGTTTTTTTGCTTTGATTTTATTTTTTTTTTTCTCTGCATACTTTTCTCTTATTACTTTATTGACCTGTAAAAAATACTTTCTGAATTGTAAATAAAAAATACTTTTATTTACAATTCAAAAAGTAATGATGATGACGTAGAAAAAGTTCATGTAGTAGAAGTAATGATTTAACTGTTAAAACTCGTAGAGATAATGTAAAATGAACTATTATGTCAAAAGTTGGGGTAACTGGCAGACTTTAAACTTAGAATGTGTTCACTGCCAATAGCGGAACAACTCCTTATTGTGGCAATTTTTTGACACCTATCGATGCATTTAGACTAATTATGGACGAAGAGTTTAAACGCTTTATCAAAAGTTGTATTATTTCATCAGCCAGTTTATCAATTAAAACATATAAGTGATATTGAACTTAATGCTCTCATAGGCCTAATATATCTAAAATATCTATCTTATATAATATATCTTCGCGGTTGCATAAACCTAAGAAATTTTCCAAACTAACTCCGATGGTCTAAAAAAAATGGCAATAAAGTTTTTATAGGAACCGCGTTCTGGATTTAAAGACATCATGAAAAACATTAGATACGTTTAAAACATAGAGAACTCTTTTAAAGAAACAAATTTGCTCTTATGTCACGGGTTATTACAAGATTCGTAAAAAACAGTAAAAAATGCTATATACCTGAGAGATGTTTAACAATTAATTAGCAGTTGTTCCCAACGAAAGCTCGGAGTCGCTTTACGCCCAATAAATCGGACAAGTTTAGAATAAAATTCCAGATCAGCTAAAAAGCTGATCTCGATAAAGATGAAAGTTGTTTAAAAATTTGGGTACTCGTGTGGCCATGTCATTAATGGAACCCTAATTAGGCCGCGGGTATTACTACAGATAATTTTTTAACAAGTGTCGATTTTGCCACAAAGCTTTTGCAAAAGAATATGTCAATCATTGGAACAGGTATCCATAGTAGAAATTCCAGCATTCACTTTACAATTCGACTTTCTTCATAAATGGACCAATGAAAATAAACTATTGAACTTTATTATATACCAGGAAGAAGAAAACTTTAATATTTTAATCAACACTTCATAAAGGAGTGGTTTAGCAAAGTGAGAAAAAAAATTCAGAGGGAGACTTTTATTACAATGCAAATAAATCTGCCCAGAGATAAAAGAAACTAATTCTCTTTAATTCGGTTTAACAAAAAACAGCTCAAACTTACATGCCGAATAATATAAGTAAATATAAGTGAAACAATAAAACATTACAACAACCACAACTCACCTGTCTATCTCTGTTCCCTAGATGCTAAAAAGGCATTTGACAGATGTAGCTGGGACATTATATTTGAGAAACTATACGACAATAAACAATTACCGCTTTATATTATTAATACTATATCGTCATTGTACCATGAAAGCAGTGTTTCTGTCACTTATCTAGGATGCAAATTATATTCATTTTATCTAACAAAAGAAATGAGATAAGGATTGATTCTATCTCCTCACCTGTATAATATATATACTCAAAGCTTACTTGAAACCATACAAAATGAAAGCATCGTAGAGACTATATATATATATATATATATATATATATATATATATATATATATATATATATATATATATATATATATATATATATATATATATCCATAAATTGATGTCTTTGTATATGCTTATTATATATACACTAACGCAAATTATATAAAGTTGAATGATAATAAGACCGAGTACTTGTTCACCGGAATAAAATAAATTGCAAACTGCACGATAACAGTCAACCACTAATACATAAAACTGGATGATAAACTTAATCATCTTATTTTTTTATTTCGGTTTTATTTCGGATACTAAAAGCTCTTTTTTAGCCTCACTTAATCGTTCAAATATCGATAATAGAATATCAAAATTCAGGGCAATAATCCAAACTCTTATTCAGTCAGGAATCCGCTTTGCTCATCCAAGCTCTATTGTCCAGCTATATAAAACATCGGAAGTTCCAGTACTTACTTATGGTCTTGAACTTTGCAATTATAATAATGTATTAATACTTGATATAGTAGGAAGAAATTCACTTAAGTCACTCTTCAATGTTTCTAAACACAGCAAAATTTATATTCATTCTTTGTTTTACATCCAAGATGTATCAACAATTGTACAGCAAAATAAGTTAAACTTATTTATTTGCATATTGAGCAATAAAACGACATTTGGTATTGTAAATTCGCAGTTTAAAACCCAAACCGCTAAGCACCCTTTTTTAGATGATGTCATAAGTTTATGCAATCGAAATGAACTAAATCTAGAGAACTTAATGCAAAACAAAAAAAATGGAAATACTATTGTATTAAAAAATATAATCCCTAAAAAAGATCTTCAAAGGTTAAGCTATGCAATTGAGTTCTGGAACTTGTTGGAGCAAAGGAAAATCTTCAAAGATATTCTTGAAGTAAATATTCCAAGATAAACTTATTTCTTTTCAAAAATGTAACTTTATAATAATTTACGTTGTATTATATACAGTGGGTGATTAATAAATATAAATAAAATTATGTGTCGAAAATCTCAACAAAATCTGAGTGCAGACGCTGGCCGCTAGCTGTTTTCTTTAATGTTTTGGACTTCACTGGCGTAAATTCGTGGATCATTTTTGAAAAGATTTTACAACAAAAAACTGCAAGACGAAAGTTACTTTACACTTTATCTGAACAGTTAAGAGAAGCAAATATTTCTCACCGAAAATCCTTTGTTGCTACCAACAGTAGTACCACACTAGCTACCAACAGTAATACACAATATCAACACGTTTGAGATGTCAGATAAAAACAGGGTGTAAACGTAATCTGACATCAACATAATGTGTAAATTTTAAGAAACCTATTCGTGGAAAGTGTTTGTCAAATATATGCAAACTTTGCAAACAACTTTAATTATTTAGATCAATAGCTTTTAGTTCAAGGTTTTTAGGTATAAGTAAATAAAGTCGCATCTTTAAATGTGTTTTTTATGTAACTTTTCCGCTTTTCAGTAAATAATATCGAATAATAAAATTCATAACATTTTTTTAATATTAAAAGTTTTACTTCAGCAAAATGTCAAAGTAATGTTTGGATCAATAGATCTATTTTGTGATCCACCTTGCAACCCACCCTAATATGTAAATATAGTTAAACAAAATTACGCAAGTAAATGTAAATAGTAAATTAAGTGCAACTAACTTTGGCTGCATTTGAAGATTTTGGATCATTCAATAAACTCCATATAACTTTTTGATAATGCTTCCATCCAGAAATTGGGTATTTTTCACTTAAACCAAACTTCAATTTTTTATCTTTTGCATCATTTAGTTCTTGTAAATCTTTTTTGATTTCTTGAAACTTTGTATAGGCTGGCCAACAGCAAGCTAAAAAAATGTATTTATAAAACTTTGTATTTGCTGGCCAGCAGCATGCTAAAATTTTATAAAACTTCAGGGGAAAGCGGGGCAACATGGCGAATGGGGCAAGATGGGTTTTCATATAACAACTCAACAAAAAATCTTAAAGTTAGGTGAAAACTAAACTGTATTTGCATCTTGTATTTTAAAACACCAATTGGTTTTTATAAATATTATTAACGAAATTTTATACGCATAAGTTTACTTTTTGCGCATAAAAAAAAACTCCGCACTTTCGGTTTCTCAAAATGGATGTTTTTTTTTTTATTATTATTATTAAGTTGATTAAGGTGCCCCAAGAAGTCCTAACGGTCTTATCAGAGAGCACCGCGGAAAAGCATTTAATAGGAAGTTTACGCCTCCTTCCTAACCGATGTCGCAAAACTTGCCCAGAGGTGGGGTTTGAACCACGGATCTTACGTGTCTGAAGAAAGGGCGCTACCACTGCGCCACGGCTGCTTCACGGTTTCCTTCAAGTTTAACTTCTTTAGAAGTAGTTTTTTGCGACTTGGTTTTATTTTTGGTTACTTTAGTTAGTGTTAATAGTAGTTTTTAAAAGTTTATAAAATTGGAGGCAAAAATTGCATAATAAGTCATCTTGCCCCGGTCACGTGACCAGACGACAAGTTCATGAAGTTTTTATTTTAATATTTATTTAAAACTACTGAAGCAAACTGAAAATTCAAGTAGGCAATGAATCGTTTTAATAACATAAACATATCGAGAAAGCATTATTGCTTCACGACTGATAGTTTTGCAATAACTCAGAGCTTTCAAAACGTTCGCCATGCTGCCCCGCTTTCCCCTATTAAATTATAAAATTTATTATTTTATAGACTTATTCATAAAACTAGCATTTTTATAAAGTTATTTATTATAAAGAAAAATTAAAATATTTCCTTTCAAAATAAAAGGTTTCATCAAAAAAGTTTTAGAATTCATTATAAACACAGATAATTCGTTTGTTCCAACGGAAGATAGTACAGCTCAATACAGATAAATCAGTAATCCACACAGTCGGCAAATGTCGTCAAAGCAGTCGGCAAATTTTGGAAAACGAGGACCTTTTTTTTTTTTTACCTTTTTGTTTTTAATCGGCAAAAGTTGTAATAGCAACCCCCTCTCCACGTGACACCTACTCGCGCATGCCCTGTATATTAGAAATAAGATTTTTTTCAAGAAACCAATTCCAAGAAAATTGTGCAATACTTCATGTTTCCACGATAATAAAAACCAAATTTTGAAACTTTCGTTCGAAAGTCACGGGTATAAAGTACGAAAGTTAATATAAAAATACGAAAGTTAATAATAACACGGGTGTAAAGTGCGAAAGTTAATAATAAAAATAAAGTTCGAAAGTACTCGGGTATAAAGACTTAAGACTTCAAAGGTATCTATTCTTAAAATGTTAAGCTTTCGCTAAAAATATAATATTTCCTGAAAACAATCCATTATTGTTTCCAATATTCATCCAGCATGAAAGCAAAGCAGATTTTTTATTTTTGAAAAATCAAATAAGAAAGAGAATTAAATAAACTGGATCCGACTATGATAACGTTTTTATCTGTGAAAAGATTAGATAGAAAAAAGAAAAAAAGTGAGAGATTTTCTGATTTTTATGTAGATTTAATTTCATCTAGTGTGATTTTAGTACAATTTTAAAACATTTAAAATATTGACTTTAAAGTTAAGAATAATTTTTCTCTTTAGGTGCGATTTTTCTAAGAACATTTTTTCTCAAGCTGCTTCTACGATATGTATGTATGTACTACCATTATTATTCTTATACTTATGTATGTATATATTTATGTATGTATGCAAGGCCGGTGCGAAGGAGGGGTGTGGGGGGTAACAACCCCCCCTACCCCCATCAATGATTTTTAGTCGGCAAATTTGACCCTTTTCGACTAGTTAGTCGGCAAATGTCGACCCTTTCGATATAGGGTAGTTGGTAGTTTAAACAGTTAGTGGGCAAATGTCGTCATGCAGTCGGCAAATTTTCGAAAACGAGGACACCTTTTTTTTTTTTTTTTTTTTTTTTTTTGATCGGCAAAAGTGAAAATGATCCCCCCCCCCCCATGTGACACCTACTCGCGCCGGCCCTATATGTATGTATGTATTTATGTATGTATGTATGTATGTATGTGTGTATGCTTATGTGTGCATGTATATATTTTAAGACAAAGAATTAAATTTAATTATCTCAAACATCAAAAAATACTGCATCCGGCTTGGTACAGTATAGTAAAATTATTGAATTAGTCACTGTTTTTAGTTTCTATTTATCAAAAGTCTCCTAATAAAAAGAAAACGGCAAAATTTTCTACTAACTGTGCAACTATTTTTCCTAATAATCCTTCAAATCATGAGAATCTTAATGATTCATTAATCAACTAATTAACTCATCAATCGTTAATCAATAATCAATTCATTAATCAATTGATCAATTCATCAACCATTAATTAAAGGTCTTGAAAAATTTTTTAAATGGACTTAAAATATTTGGCATAAAATTTGAACTGTAAGCAAAAATATTTACTAAAAAAATTTTAAATTTTGTTTTATACATTTTGAAAAAGTTTACATTATTTAAATTAAAACTAATTATGAAATACTAACTTATCATTACCCACCGAGAATAAAAAACTCTTACCTTCCATTTGTGTTTCATCAACTCCCCAAAAGTTCAATTCTGATTGAAACATAGTTCCACAAACATCGCGAGGGCAATGAAGTTTACCTGTCTGAAAATAATTTAAAATTTGAACAAAAATTCCAGGATGCCGATCAAAGAAATATTCTCCAGTAATTGGATCGTAATCAAGCTCAAACTTTAAATCTCCTTTTAGAATTTTAGTAAGTGGAGAATCTGGCAGGTTTTGCAGAGTACTTACGTACGGAGAGTAATGCTTTCCACCAACATTAATTTTAATTCTTCTGCCAGGCTCAGAAGTTGAAATCAATGTGTTTCTCAGCACTGAAGAATCCATTTTTCCAATATGTGTTTAATGAATAATAATCAAAATGATTTTACTACCAATAGAAATTTGTGTTCACATGAAAAACTTAACAATAAGGATTTCATTTTGGAATTTTTTCTCAAAACCAATTGAAAACTGTACAAAAAGTTTCAAAAATACTTTTTGCTACTTTCAAAATTTCTTTTACAATTTGCTGTTGAGATGTGAAAAAACAAATAGATTTAAAAAAAAAAAACAAACGCATTAAACAAAACGAAAAATGACAGGTGCACTTTCAAGAGTGAATCAAGTTTCTTTATCTTTATTTATTTCATAGAATTAAAATAACTCCAGATGTGTTTATTTAAAATAGAAATTGAAAAAAATATTTTTGGGTTTTATTACTTTCAAAAAAGTTTGTGTGTTCTCCTCTCACCTAAAGTAACTCTAAAACTTTTTAAAAATGAAATACGACTGCGGAGTTTTATCATTTTTTACTTCTGGTTAAATTTTATTAAAACATGCAAAATCAAAAATAAGTTATGTACACGAAAAGAATAATATACAGCACTCGAAAAGATTGACATACAGCACACAAAAGATTAACATACAACACACGAAAAGGTAAAAGCGAAGGAACTGACACTAATAAACTGTTTTATTGCGTGTCACAAAGTTTAACCTACAAAATTCTGCACCTACAAACTTGATCTACAAAATAAAACATCTACTAAAAAGTGGAAATAATTTTTATATGTTCTACTGAGGACTAAAATGTTTTCAACCGATTATAAATATAACTCTGTGAATGTTGAAAAATAACTGTGAAATAGGCCGATTTTTTTCTCAACTTATTTCACAGACTTTTAATTTCAACCGATTTGCCATAATTTGATTTTCGACCGAATATAGTGGAAATTCATTTCAACCTAGTCTGTGTTTTTACCTTTATTTTCTTGCGCTTTTAAGGATTTTTCTTTAAAAACATTAACAATAAATCAAAAATAGGCAAGTTTTTGTTTCAAGAATTTAATTAACAAGAAGCCTGTGTTATATCAGCCTATGAAAGTTACTGACCTTTTATTTTATTATTTTTATGTATTATTTCTACTATTAACTGCCATTTTTATTTAATCTAGATGCATGCTAAAATAAAACAACACAAGTTTTTTTTATGTATTTCTATTATTATATTCTATATATATATATATATATATATATATATATATATATATATATATATATATATATATATATATATATATATATATATATATATATATTCTATTATTAGCTTACAATACTTTTTTAAGTACATTTTTGGAGTACTTTAATAAAACTTGTCCTCAAGAGATTAAGTCAAAAGCAATTGCTAATCCGTGGATGGATAAATCGTTATTAAAGTGCTCAAAAAAAAAAGCAAAAACTTTACAATAAATTTCTGAATAATAAAAACAATGATAATGAAAAAAAAATTACAAAAATTATAAATATTTTTACCAAGATCTTATTAGAAATGCAAAAAAATAAATATTACAGTAATCAAATTAACAAATGCAAATTTGATTGGAAAAAAACATGGTCCACCATCAATATCATAATGGGAAGAGAAAAACTAAATTCATCTTGTCTACCTAAACAAATTTTTATTGAAAACAACGATATATTTAGTCAAAAACAAATTTTGGAAGAATTAAATAAATATTTTACAAGCATTGGTCCAAATCTTGTAAAAAAAATAGTACCAACAACAGTATCATTTAAAACCTTTCTTAAATTAACAAATAATGTTATCATGCTTAATTAACCTATGAGGAATTTGAGGCAGCTTTTTCCTCGTTAAAAAAAAAAAGGCTCCAGGATTTGATGAGATATTTAGTAATATATTTATTGAAAACAAACACAGTCTTAAAAGACCTCTAATACATATACTAAAGCTTTCGTTAAATTCTGGGATATTCCGGATGTACTTAAATTAGCAAAAGTAACTCCGTTGTACACATGTAATCATCATTCTGACATTACAAACTACAGGCCTATATCAGTACTTTCTGTATTTTCAAAACTATTTGTACGTGTAGTAGTTTATAATAGAATCTATGATTACTTCATTAAAAACAATTTTTTTACCCAAATCAGTTTGGTTTTCAAAAAAATCTCTCTACTGAGCATGAAATCATTGAAATAGTAAATAAAATAACTAGTTGTTTTGAAAATAATAAATTTACTTTTGGAGTATTTCTCGATTTATCAAAAGCACTTGATATAGTGGACCACTGTATTCTCTTAGATAAATTAAGTCATACGGAATAATTAATAAAACTTAGTATTTGATTAAAAGCTATCTTACAAACAGAAAACAATATGTAAATAATGCCCAATCTGGAGTGTTAAATGTCATATGTGGAGTTCCGCAAGGATCGATTCTTGGTCCACTTCTTTTTTTAATATATATAAATGACTTCTGTAATGCATCCTTAAAACTTAATTCAGTCATGTTTGCAGATGACACGAATTTATTTCATACCAACAACAATATTAAGAAATTATATGCGGTCATGAACATTGAGCTAAGTAAAGTAAACAACTGTTTTAAGGCTAACAAACTCTCACTTAATGCCGAGAAAACAAACTATATACTTTTTCATAAAAAAACAAAAAATCTTCCTCTCAAGTTGCCGAACCTATTTATAAATGATAAATTAATTAAAAAGCAATCCAATATAAGATTCTTGGGAATTGTTGTTGATGAAAAATTATCCTGGCTTCCTCATATAATATATATCCAGTCAAAAATTACAAAAATCATAGGTTTAATATATCGAGTTCGCTCGTACATCAATACAAATAGTCTTAAATTAATCTACCATGGGCTAATTCACAGCCTCATCAGCTATGCAAACACTTCATGAGCAAGTACTCAAACAGCAAAGCTTAAGAAACTTTATAGTTTTCAGAAACATGCCTGTAGAATCATTTACTTTAAAAATAGGCGGGAACACGCTAATCCCTTGATGAAAATGATAAATGTATTTGAAATAAATATCTACCAGCATTTAATTTTCATGTATCGTTACAATCACAATATCTCTCATATAAGCTTTAATAACAAGTTTGAGTTAAATAAAAGTGATAACTATAATCTTAGAGCGAATATGTTGAACACATATAAACTGCCTAGGATAATAAATAAATATTCAGAATACAGCATTTTATATCGAAGTCCAAAAATATGGATAATTTTTCAAAAAGGGTTCAAAGGTACGGTGAGTTCGTTAAGTTCATTCAAGTTTTTAACAAAAAAAGAAATCTTTAAAACCATATATTTTTATTTTTATAAATTATAAATAAATGAAAACTTTAAAAAAAAGGTTTCAAATTGAACTTTCTAAAAGCCCTTTAAATCAAATTTGCTTTATGCAAATTATGTTCTGTTTTTATTTTTTGGCTTAAAAATTATAACAAAACAAGAAATGTTTTTAAACAACCTGCTCAGAATTATAATTTAAATTTGCTTTATGCAAATTATGTTCTGTTTTTATTTTTTGGTTTAAAAATTATAACAAAACAAGAAATGTTTTTAAACAACCTGCTCAGAATTATAGTTTCATATTTATTACAAACAGTTTATTTGGTGGCCTACTTAACCTAATTTTGAATCTTTGTAAGTTGTGATTTTGATGTTTTTGATTTTCAACTGACAGTTTTGATTTTTATACTTACACATAACTAAGACATTCACTACTAGTTTTACAACCTACTAAATCATTGACCTATTGTATTTTTGACCTACTGAATTTTCAACCTAATTAATATTCAACCTAGTTTATTTTCAATTTTATAATTATTTCTATCAAGTATATATTTTGTATACTTTGTTGTTAATTTGAATACAAGCCAAATTTGATGAGCCTTGGTGTAGTGGTTGAAACTCTGTCTTCATAATCAGGAGGTATAAGGTATTATTTTCAATTTATAAGATTCAATACTTGCAAAACTTATTAATTGCTAACTTAACTTTTGTACTTTAAAAAAAGTTTTTGTAATTTAAAAAAACAACGTTAAATTTATAATTAGATAATCAATTAGAAAATCAATTAAAAATTAATTTATCTCAAATTGAATAAAAACAAAAATCTATGAAAGAGGTCAAAAAATAAATTTAGTGCGTTCAATTTTTTTGTAGGTCTAACTATATGACACAGTTTATTTGTGTTTACATGTTTTAACTCGTGTTTCTCGAGCATATTAAGTTCAAGTGTGTTATTTTGTATAAGTGTGCCATTACAGAAATGTGCAAATATTTTTTGAAATAACTCTTTTTTTATTAGCCATTATACCACTATGTGAAACTAAGAAGCCAGTTCCACTTGTCAAGCGCATATGCGTTAATCATACTTTATCGCCACAAAAACTGTGTTATCTACTTACCTACTTACCATACCTTTTTGAAATACCAATCATAATAAACTATCAGTTAGAAATAATTAACCGCAGAATGTAATAACATATTGCCTTATTTTGCCATTTTACATGCATAGTTTTTTACTATCTTTTTAATATAAGTTTATTTTACCTTTTTATATCTGAAAATTGTTAAGAATATTTGCTTTGAAAAATAGAATTTTTATTCTGAAACGAAATTCATCGCTGAAAGATGGAGCCTTGTGGAACCCCACATGATATTTTAAGTTTGTTTGTCTGAAAGCCATCATTTAGAGAAATAAACTGCTTTTGATCAGTTAAGTGACTGGTAAAGCATTTATAGTATTTGTGGCTTATTCCATAATATTTTATTTTTTCTAATAAATTCTGATAGTGTCATATGACCATGTAACAATATTTAGCAATCTAGATCATTTAACAATATTATGAAATTCAATGTCTTTATCTTTGTTCATTAAAAATATATACTCTTGAAGTTGCCTACAATTTTCTTGATATATTTTATGATATTGTAACAGATATTTTATTTGAATTATTTTGAAAGAAAATAATATATGCAATATATATATCGAATCACATTCAGATTATAATTATAAAAGACAATTTTAAGACGTTAAGAAATAAAATTAAAAAAAAAAGTAATAAAGTAATTGAAAAAAAAAAAAAAAAGAAATAAATAAAGTAATAAAAATGACAAAAAATTGGTTATATAACCAAAAACAGAACATTTTTTTTCATTTTTATTACTTTATTCATTTCTTTTTTTTTTTTTTTTTTTTTCCAATT